ATGCACCTCAGTGGTGGAAATAATATCTAGCCCAGGTATCCTACTTTGCTCCAAATAACTGTGCAAGCTAAAATCAGTTTTAGAATACCACTTAGCACCATTATTTAAGTAAAAGCAGATAGGAACACCCAGGCCTTTAAAGCCCATTTAAAAACAGTTAACAAGGGCATCAGAAGCACATGCTGTAGGAGGGAGTTCCACACTGACAGCACCACCACTGGAAAGACCCTGTCCCTTGTACCCACCTGCCTTAATGGCAAGCTCATGACGTAGCTGATCTTAAGGCCCAGGAAGATTCACATAGTAGAGCAGGTGGTCCTTCACATAGCCTGTTCACTAGCTAACATTTGACTCAGGCTAATAAGTAGGGTAGACATTATTTCCTCCACTGAGGTGCTCCCCTGTTTTATCTTCACAATGGACCATTAGGTTTAGATATAATGACTAGCCCAGTGTAATCCAGTGAATTTCATGGTTCGGTGGGGATTTGGGCCTATAATTCCACTTTTTGCTTATTGTATAATAACAATCAGCCTGAATCTCTTCGATTCTGCTTTGACATTTACTACTATTTCACGCTGGCTCCATTCATAAACACACATGCCTACCACATCATATGAGTAATCTTAAAATAAAAATAAGAGAGAACCAACATTTGTTGTGACCTTTACAATGATAATTTCAAGCGATCCAATTCAACTCTTTTTCATGCGGCTTTCATTTCTATAGAAGTGCTTACTTTAGATTTATTCAACAAATACAGCTTTCACGACCCTCCAAGGAAGCTTTCCAAAGGCAACCACAGTACTGATATTGCAGTAAAGAGACGAGCACTTCTCAATAGCTTACAGTTAATGTCAAAGTCTCTAAGGATTAGGGATTCCCCCCCCCCAAAAAAAACTAAGTTGGAGGTTGATGGTTTTCCTTTAAGTACAACTATTACATGATGAAATGCACTAGAAATGTGTGCTTTCTGCTTCCAGCTTGTAAATTCAGTGGAATAGGACCAGATTTGAAGGCTGAGGTTTTCCTTACATCTTATTAGTGTGCATTTTCCTATGCTTTAAACAATGGCACTTCTAAAGTGTTCCGTGCACTTCATACACACTAACAGCAAGGGCATGTAAGAATGCAGTTCCTTATGGTGTTTGAGACATTGTTATTCTACAAGCAGCAAAAAGTAGAAATATAGCTGTGGTTCTGCTCTGTCACAATATCGTAGTGCTCATTCGAACATCAAAGATAAAAGTGAGTAATATATTACTAATTAATTTAGTTAGATCTTTTCCTAAAATAATTTTCCTTCTTCCCCTTCTATGGCTTGCTTCCTTTTAGCTTGCCCTCTCCTCACTAGTGTGCTTATGTGCTCTTGGGCCACAGAGATGTACAGTCATACCTCAGGATAAATACGCTTCAGGTTGAGCGCTTTCGGGTTGCGCTCCGTGGCGACCCGGAAGTAACGGAGCACGTTTCTTCCGGATTTCACGGCTCGCGCATGCGCAGATGGTCAAAATGACGTCACGTGCATGCGCGGAAGCGGCAAAACATGGCACGCGCAGACGCGCTGTCGCATCTTACGTTCTGTTCGGGATGCGAACGGGGCTCCGGAACGGATCCCGTTCGCATCCTGAGGTACCACTGTACTTGTGAAACTGACTGGAGAGACCCTGCTCTCCTCCTCCTCTGGATCTGAGTAGAAACCAGCTTTATCTACCACTGCTGCCAACCCCTAACCCCCTTTATTGTTTTGTGGGGACAGGAAAGGCCAGTCAAGAAAGGATAGTGCTGGGAAGCACTGGGTTTGAAATGCATTTGGAAAGGCTGGAACAAATGCCTTGTGAAATGTAAGTTTTCTCCCACTTTTCAGGGACCCCCACACAAGAATGAACGTGACTGGCAACTGGTCATGAGAAATTTAGACTCATACAAGCTGAAGGGGGGACGACGACCCAAATGGCTTTGAAATAAATTTCCTGACTCGTTTTGGGTTTTCTTAGTACATGTGTCACATCTGATTCTTCAAATATTGGAAGATGACTGTTTGGTTAATTTCAAAGCTGTTCATAATATTCACTGGTATAGAGAAAGCATGGGTTACACCAGCCCTAAAAAGCAGTCCAGTGCTGCTAACATTAATTTTACAGGAGTAGAGGCTAAGACACAGTAGTGTACGACAACTCTGCAGTGTACTCCCATGTTGTTATCTGGTCACTTAATGCATTGGGTTTTTTAAGGAAATGCAGTTATGTAGGCTATTAAGTAGAATATAGTAGCACAGGGTGGGGGCGGGGCAATTATTTTTTCTGATCCATGGAGTGGTCTGTTGCTGTTATAAGCACTTATACATTCATGTCAAAGGTTCAAGTCCTTTTTACTCAAAAAAGAGAGAAAGGGATGACTATTTGACCAGTGCTGATAAAATTGCTGTAGTTTTTATGAGGTATAAATAATAATAAATAACCGCAACAAACACTTTTAGAATACAGTGCTAGTTTTTCAGTAAATGAATCTTGAAAATACCCAAGCATGGGCACCTGAACCTTAGTTGCTGTAAATCAAAAATCTATTTCGAGCCCTCTCCTCTCTCCACCCCTAACCCTAAAAATCTGGAATTAACATGCATGGGCATGCACTGAAAATCGTATTACCTGTGTAAGATCAACTGATGAAAGATCCACAGTAACATAACTGGTTTACAACTCATGAAATCTGCATGGTTTATGGTTGGCATCAAAAGAGAGCAGGTCTCTTATTCCTTTAAGCAGACAATTCAACTGGTTAATATTTTTGTCTCGTATTGAAATAAAATTTTGAAGGAAAGCTTCACCTATTGGCATTCTGTATTTAGATCTACACTATAAATACAAAGCCTATTTGATTCACAATTAAAGGACATGATTTCCCCTAGCACAGCTTAGGACCTGTAGTTTGTTAAGGTTGCTGGGAAGTATGACTCCAAGAAGCTGCTGCTGCTGATGTTTTGAGGTGGAGGCAGCACTGCAACAAAGATACATGCATTATTTTACTTTTTAAAGAAAGTGTTCAGCCTAAAGTGAAGCAGAAAGGAAGTTTTGCAAAATTAAGGATCATAGAACCATATAATTCATTGTTGGTTACCATATTCATGGCCGGGCAGGAATTTGTCCACCAGGAAAATTGACTTCCGCATGGTGGTTTTGCCTACCTCATAGCAATCACAACTTTGGTAGGTTGTAGTCTCTGTCTGACCCTCTGGTGTTAGGGTATTTCATTAAAGGAGCCGGGAAGAGTTGCTTGTGTCCATATGCCCAGTTGGGGGCTGGGGCCTTTAACACTCCCAAGGCAGCGATCCCTGCAGGGCTCCTTCTATTTGATGTAAGTCTTAAGAACCCCCACTGTTGGATTGACCCATGGCATCACTTCCAGCAGGCGGGCCAGAGATTAATGGTTGCCCAATGCTTATGCCAAACCTCTTTCATCTGTATTGTGGCCTTATTTGAGCCAAAGTTAAGTTGTGCTGTGTCCATTATTCCTGTGCAGTCGGAAGCCTTGGCATGCAACTGCTTTCCTTTTCAGGTCATTAGCGAGAGGAGAGTTTTACCAGATTAATTCCATAAAACCACTATTGTGGTTATGCAGTATCTTTAGAGTATATGTACGTACACACACACACACACACACACACACACACCCTTTAGATTTTTAGCATGTAAGCCTTGAGGGAATAGTATACTCTCAGTGTGTGCATAACTTTCATTAATGCTAATTAAGTAAAAAAGATCAAGGTGCAGGGCTTTTTCTGGGGATTAAAGAGCAGCAGAGTGGAGCTGATAGCCCGTGGTGCGGCTGTATGCTATTAACCCCAGTCAGTCATTAATCTCTAGAAAATGTCTTTCACTGAAAGCATTATTGCTGTTACAACAGGAAAAGAGAGAACTTCAGTAGCCAAGTGACTGCTGCAATTTATTTTAATATTCAAGTCCCTACTTACAATGATATTCTTCCATTGGATACCAGAATAACTTCAGCAATGTGTGGGCATTAAAGAAGAAATAAATCCCTCCAGAGTTGTGGTTTTCTGGCTCTATGAAAAAACGCCCCCAAGGCAAGTAAGAACAGGAACATTCTAATTTTAAATAGGTTTGATTTTACTAGGGTAAGAAATGTGTGTGTAGCATTGGGATTGTCCATTATGGAAATGATGTCCTATGGCCTCTGACATCTAGGTATGATAAAAAGTTATCCATACGTTCCTTCCTAAACATGGTGGGTTGTGGCTTTCAGCCATCTGGTTTGCCCTCTGACTGAAAAGGCAGACTACAGTTCTGACTACCCAAGTGGCTTTAGGTGACTCTGGACATTTATTTGTGCCTTTTCTTTTCTTGATAATTATGATTTTGGAATTGATTGATAGTTTTATCTTCCAATCTGAGGGGCAGTGGGTTGTATTCTATTGATTCTTTTAGATCAGGGAATGGGGAAACTGTGGCCCTACAGATGTTGCTGAACTCCTATTCATTCCTATCATTCTTGTCCATCAGCCCTGCTGGTTGAGGCTGATGGGCATTGGAGTCTAACAGCATCTGGAAGGTCACAGCAGCCCCATCCCTGAATTAGATCTTTCAGCAGTTTTTAATGTCAGTGATTCTGAAATGGTTCTGTGGACCAGCTTGACATTTGTAGGAATCCTCTTGGAGGGCACTGTTTGTTTATGGCTCATCATCCTTTTTCATGTTAAACATAAAGATCAGAGGTGATGAACCTATGGTTTTCCAGGTGATATTAGATTGCTGCTTCCATTCAGCCCTAGCCAGCATGGCTAGTGCTAGTGGTCAGGAATAATAGGCACTGGAGTGCAACAACACCTGAAGGCCCATAGGCTTCCCATCTCTACTAAAGGCGAATCTTTTGGGGCAAGAGCACAGAAAGGTGCTGAGTCAGATCATTGGTTCATCTAGCTCAATTTTGTCTACACTGACTGGCAGCAGCTCTCCAGGATTTCAGAGAGGATTCCCTCCCAATGTTTAAATGATAGGGATTGAACTTGGGACCTTCTGCATCCAAAACAGATGCTCTGCCGCTGAGCTACATCTCTTTGAAGCCTGCTGCACTCTCTAGTGTCAATCTTTAGACAGGGTATGCTAGTAAATATGTAATAAATTATAAATAAAATAATGAATACTTAGAAGCATCCAGCATTTGTTTCATCTTGATTTTTCTGACTTGAGACTCAGATCTTTGCTTCTTGTGGTTTTGGTAGGAAGACAGATTAAATACATGTGGTTTAAAAAACAAAACAAAAACCAACTTCCAATGAGAATAAATAAATCCACTTTTATCACATTAGGGGTTTGATATAGTCACTTCTCCAAACTGACATATTTTATAATTACCTTGTTGTCTAAATTTCAAGAAGGATCTTCCATTCATTACACCTTTAGCTTGTCCTTTATATAATGAAAAGAAATAGACAAAATGAAAAAATGGATTTTTTTGCCCCAATCACCAATCCGTCCATTACATTCAGGATTTATAGACTCAGCAGTGCACTGTGTGATTCCTCTGGGAAGTGTTAGGCAAACAGAAGGTAGCCAGCTCATCCTGACTCCAGCAGGCACTTTGTACTTTGCACAAATTCTTAGAATATCAAACGGTATACAAGAGTGATAGGGCAGTAGTACACATGCAGCGTAGCTACTAAGCGGATTTGAGGTGTATTTTACAAACCACAAGTGGGAATTTAAATCCAATCCTAACTTCTGGGTCCAAAAATATTTCTTTGTAATGTAGTGCCGATTCATATTCTTATTCATCATTAACAAATAAGTCTTTGGTTTAATATTTGCAGCTATTCACATATTACCACTAAAAAAATGCGAATGGGTTACAGGAAATATGTGTGCCTCTCTGCTTTTTCATTCCAGCTTGGACTATTCTGGGCAAGCCTTCAAAGTGAAATGGGTTAGGGGTAGATTTATCCATTTCTGTCATTTTTTTCTCCTTGGAGTGGGCTCTGATTCATGTGCTGCTTAATCTGCCATAGGGAGACTTTCTAAACGTCATCACCTGTTAACAAACTTCAGCAGGACAGTACAGATGCTAAATGGTTGCACCCTTTAAATGTTGGGACCTAAACCAAAGTGTACATGAACTTCTTTGAGACCATCTTTAGCTTTTTCAGTTCCCTCAGTCACAGGCTCAGATAACACTTGTAGACCAGTGTGTGTACTTTTTGAGCCTTGTGTAGTCAAATTAGTATCAGCCATGAAGAAGAGCATGGTACATACTTGGGAAACCCCAGGGTGGGTAGAAATACAGAAAGCTGACCTGACTGGCTCTTAGGAGGAGGGAATTGAAGAAAACCAGGTGGTTGAAGATAGAACATCATGAAAGAGGGCATGACTAGATGAACCTTGGTGTCCCTTCCAGTTCCACAATTCTATGATTCTGTGATTAATAGTAACAAAAGTGAAATGTGTAGTTGACGTGTTCATGTCCATAATGTATTCTCAAAAAAAATGTGTACAGCAGTTTAATCCAATGGATTGCTTCCTGCAGAGTTTCACTGGGGTTGACAGCCTCCAACCTGCTGGTCCGTGTGCCATTTTTCCTCTAAAGCAAGCGAAGGGGTGTCATTCTGAGAATTTGTTTTAGGGCACAAATGTCTAAAGTTAGTATGATGTGTTGCAAACAATAGAGGGGGGATGGAAGGGAAAAAAGAAATCAAGGCAAGCAGCCAATCTGATCGAGGGTGAATGTTATTTCTCAGCTCCAAGAATGCCAGTCTTAGAATGAGTATTAAAACAGAAGTCATCCATCAAATCTCTCTAATAAGAAAAGATATTAGCTCTCTAGCACAAATGCAACCCACTCAATATCCCATTTTCAGTTTTAGCTATCACTCTTGCTTCAGACACTGAAAGAATAACGCAGAAATCATTGAAAGAAGAAGGGGACTTCTTGACATCAATCGGGCTTTGCTGAGGCACCAGCATGGCTTTTCCTTGCCTCCCTGTAGTCTGTGTGATGTCATTTTTCAATTCAAAACCAAAGATACAGAAATGCATTGCAGGACAAAATGTTCTCATGCTGTTGTTTAAATTCAGATCACAGCATTTTTATGGTTTTGTATAAATTTCCTAAGGTTTTTTTTATATATATCCTGAACAATACAAGGTTTCTATTTTCTTTCATCCAATGTGTAAAGGAAAATGACTTAGCACTATGTTTTCCCATCTAATTAAGTTGTATAGATCTATTGAGTTGTTACACAATAATTGAATATTGAGATTTCAGTATGCTGCTAAATACTCTTTAAGCTCCCTTCACGGTTGCACAGAGTTTTAGGAGTAGAAAATACATCAGTAAAACAGAATCTGATTCTGTTTGCATTGTCTGTGGACAAAAGTTACTAAATTGCTATTGCTTGTTGTTATTGCTCTTCTGCAGTATTTGATAGAAAAGCGCATTCTACAGTTATTGCCTATATGTAAGGAATCTTGCATATTTTACATTATTTTACTTTGATCACCTGCTTGCTGTCCTTGCCTGGGCATCTTTAAACAGTTGTGATGTAGTGAAGCCTTTTTCTTTCTTTTCATGGTGAAAATATTTTAAATGAATTCAAACACCGTCAGTTGTAGCAGATGAGGGTTGATTTTGTACCACTCGCATTTCAGAAGCTGAGCTGAGGCTCTGACATCTCACTCTGCTTTTACCCATTATACCCTTTCCTGTCTCTTTATCAGCCCCCTTTTTTCATAGAATCATAGAATTGTAGAGTTGGAAAGGGATCCCAAGGGTCATCTTATCCAACACCCTACAATGCAGGAATCAATCCCTTTACAGTACAACAGATTACTTACAGACTCTGCTCTTCCTTCTTGCTTTTGTCCTTGTTGTTTAGTCGTTTCAGACTCTTCGTGACCCCATGGACCAGAGCACACCAGGCACTCCTGTCTTCCACTGCCTCCCGCAGTTTGGTCAGACTCATGTTTGTAGCTTCGAGAACACTATCCAACCATTTCGTCCTCTGTCGTCCCCTTCTCCTTGTGCCCTCCATCTTTCCCAACATCAGGGTCTTTTCCAGGGAGTCTTCTCTTCTCATGATGTGGCCAAAGTATTGGAGCCTCAGCTTTGGGATATGTCCTTCCAGTGAGCACTCAGGGCTGATTTCCTCAAGAATGGATAAGTCTGATCTTCTTGCAGTCCATGGGACTCTTGAAGTCTCCTCCAGCACCATAATTCAAAAGCATCAATTCGTTTTTTATGGTCCAGCTCTTACTTTCATACATCACTACCGGGAAAACCATAGCAGACCTTTGTTGGCAGGTTGATGTCTCTGCTTTTTAAGATGCTGTCTAGGATTGTCATCGCTTTTCTCCCAAGAAGCAGGCGTCTTTTAATTTCGTGACTTTTGTCCTTACTTCTCCGCAAATTTATCTTAAGCATCTCAGGTTTGGGCATTCATACTGCTTGTTCTTTTTACACTATTCAGGCCAGACCTCTATTCAGCCATGAAGCTCACCGGGGGTCCTTGAGCCTATCACTGTCTCTCGACCTCACCTACCTCACAGGGTTGCTGTGATTATAAAATGTGGGGAGAACCAGGCAGACCACCTTAAACTTGGAGGGAAAAGTGTATCTAAAATAAATAAATAAATATTCAGATGCCCTGGTACATTCCTTCAATTCCAACACAGAATGACAAATAAGAATAAGAAGCAACATTATCTATATAGTCATACCTCGGGATCAATACGCTTCGGACGCTTCGGGTTAGGCAAATTTGGGTTGCGCTCCGCGGTGACCCGGAAGTAACGGAGTGCGTTATTTCCGGGTTTTGCCAGGCGCGCATGTGCAAACCGTCAAAATGACGTCATGCGCAGAAGCGTCGAAACATGGCACGCACGGACACGGGTTACGTTTGCTTCGGGATGCGAACGGGGCTCCGGAACAGATCCCGTTCGCATCCCGAGGTACCACTGTATAGCACACTTCTTAATGTCTAAAGCACCTCACATATGTTTTCTTAGTATTTCATATACTGTGGTACCTCGGGTTACATATGCTACAGGTTACAGACTCCACTAACCCAGAAATAGTACCTTGGGTTAATAACTTTGGTTCAGGATGAGAACAGAAATTGTGCTCTGGCGGTGTGGCGGCAGCAGGAGGCCTCATTAGCTAAAGTGGTGCTTCAGGTTAAGAACAGTTTCAGGTTAAGAACGGACCTCCGGAACGAATTAAGTACGTAACCAGAGGTACCACTGTATTTATTACAGTGATATTCTCCCTTCCCTCATGTGTAGACTAATTTGTGGCCAGTGTTACATCGAAATTATACATCGAAATGTATAATTAAAAATTGGAATCAGAAAGTTGATGCTGATACAGATGCAGATAAATACAGTGGTGCCTCGCAAGACGAAATTAATCCGTTCCGCGAGTCTCTTCGTCTAGCGGTTTTTTCGTCTTGCAAAGCAACCCTATTAGCGGCTTAGCGGATTAGCGCTATTAGCGGTTTAGCGGCTATTAAAGGCTTAGCGGCTAAAAGGCTATTAGTGGCTTAGCGGCTTAGAAAAAGGGGGGGAAGAGCGAAAAAAATCTCAAGACTCGCAAGACATTTTCGTCTTGCGAAGCAAGCCCATAGGGAAATTCGTCCTGTGAAGCGCATCGAAAAACGGAAAACCCTTTCGTCTAGTGGGTTTTTCGTCTTGCGGGGCACCACTGTAAGTAGCAAGCTTAATTTAAGAGATTAGAGTGTCAATCCTATACCCATTTACATAGGACTAAGTTCTGTTGTATTCAGTGGAGGTTATTTCTGAATCGACATGGATAGGAACTGCCATGCATAAAACAGCAGCTACAAGCAAACTGCAGCCTGTTTAATCATTCATTGTTTTGTTAGGAGCTTCTGGGGCACAATGATAACACTGGGCAACAATTTTTTACTTTTTGAATGTTGTCTAGATTTCTACAACTGATTTAGGGTATTTTTGTACTGCTGAATCAGGAAATGGCATCCATTTCTCTCCATCAGGTCAGGTTTTCTGTAAACTGAATGGTGGGCATTGATAAAGGCAAATACACGT